AATACAACCTATCAGGTCGACCACCACGCGTTTCCCTCTGGAAACCATTATCATTAATTCTAGTGAAATACGTAATGCAAACATGGGCTAACTGACCTTGTATTCATCCTCATCTATCATCCCTCACTGGTGCCCCGCCAGCGTATACCGATAGCGCAGGCGGGGTGACCATTTTATTATCACCCATTAATAACCCTATCTGAAAAACTGTAAGTCAAAAATCCGTGTGGTCCCGGCATAGAATAGGCCACCCCTTTCTTTCCCGTGGATGTCGCAAGGAGCGATTAAGAGAACTTTTAAACGGAAGGAAAAAAGGAGTGACCTATTCTATGCCAGGACCACACGGCAGTCAGCTTCACCTGTCATCCCTTAATAATGCCGCGCCTACATACAAAGCGAAGATTAAGCGGGAATACCATTCCATATTCAAATATTAAAAAAAAATAGAAGAAGACCAGATTGATAGCGGGAAAAAATAACAGTATAAGCTTATCATATTTTTTTATACAACTTAGAATGGCAAACAAGCTGACGGCCCACCTGATGGAAAGTGGTAACCGTCGCCTATAGACATGAGCAGTACCATGGACATAACAGAGTATACTGTTTCGTCCATGATACCACCCATGCGTTTCCATTCCTGTGGACTCAGGTGTTATTCCTCTGTACCCAGTAAATTCACGCCATGTTAATTTACGTAGTCTGTTATGTTACGTTAGATACTTAATCGTTTCTGCAATTGAGTGAGTTATTTATATAAAATTTCCACATCTTTACATGCATTCGTCAATATGCAACTGAAAGTTTTTTTTTTTTTATTTTGATGGTCGCTTTTACAATATTTACAGTGTCTATGGCAACACTAGCTGGCTCGGTAAACGTTGTTTTACCATATATATTATTTCTAGAACTATACATGAAAATATATCGCACTACAATTATTATATTCAATTGTCATTTTGCAACCCTATTGAAGCATATAAAAATTGCGATTAAACAACAGAGGTTGATCATAAAAGCGTGAAAATTTTTATTTGTATGTATTTTTCAATGCTAAATCATAACAAAATAAACGCAAAAAATTTTGTCAAAAAATAAAAAAATTTGAGGTAGGTCACGCTTATTATCGAGAGATATGAAAAATAGATGTTGGCCGATTCTCAGACCTACCCAATATGCACACAAAATTTCATAAAAATCTGTAAAGCCGTTTCGGAGGAGTTTGGTAACAAACACCGCGACACGAGAATTTTATATATTAGATTTATGGTCGACGTTCCACGTATTCGTATCGAGCGTTTCGCCTTATTGTTTCTTATACGAAAAGTCAAGAGTTAGTAATCTCTTCCGACGTGTGTTTTACCAGATTTTTTATGCAACTTAGAATAGCAAACAGGCTGACGGCCCACCTGATGGAAAGTGGTAACCGTTGCCAATAGGGTCTTTCTATAGACATGAGCAGTACCATGGACATAACAGAGTTTACTGTTTCGCACATGATACTTCCTATGCGTTCCAGATGATTTTAACTCTTTCTATAAAAGCCGTTTCACAATTTTAAATGTATCACAAAAGTAAGAATTCCTAAAGTATTGAGTGTGTGGTTCTCGTGTTACGTTAACTCTGAAGAATAATGGAGGTGAGCTGTTGAATATAGACATAAATTGGTTTTTTTATAAATCTAGTCATCACATATTAAGTTCATGTCCAAAAGCCTAAAGTTGCGATGTTTTGTAACTTAGATCAATTTAATTTTAGTTGCTAAATAATCAAGCATTGTCTTATGATGTGGTCTAATTTGTTCTCACTCTGCAATAATTATATCATTCAAAAACGTGTTGTGTTGTGTGTTCATCTATTCGCATTTGTTTCAGCTTTCTATAAACGAAGATACAGTGGATTATACATTATAAAATTATTATTATTCCAACACAAGTGAACTCGAGCGGCAAGATAATGTTGAAAAGCAAGAACCATTCTTCATTGAAGCGGGCTAACAACAGTATTGAGCATTTCTTTGAAAAGCCGAAGAAAAAAACGAAGGCAGTTCTCAGATCGTCGGTTGGTCAATCGAATCAGAATCAGAGTGGAACGTCTTAATCAATATATATATCCACATGTGTAGAAAACCAAGCGAGCCATCTAATCAAAATCAAAATATACGACATGAAAAAACTGAGTGTCCAGGTGGCCGAAATTCTGAGTGTCTAGTGTCTGAGTGTCTAGGTGTCCGAGTATCTGAGTGTCTTGTGTCTGAGTGTCTAGAGCAGTGATTCTCAACCACTGTGCCGCGGCACTTTTGTGTGCCGCCAAATTTTAAAAGTGTGCCGCCAAATTTTGCTAATATTTAAAATTTTTGTTATAAACTATTTATGCAGTGTGTTGTAGTAAGTAAATAATTTTTATCTTTTTCTTTGTGTGCCGCCAAATTTTGAAATCGTTAAATATGTGCCGCAACAAAAAAAAGGTTGAGAATCACTGGTCTAGAGACTGTGTCTGAGTGTCTAGTGTCTTAGAGTCTAGTATCTAAACATCTGGCGTCTGAGTGTCTAGTGCCTGAGTGTCTAGTGTCTGAGTGTCTAGTGTCTGAGTGTCTAGTGTCTAGTGTCTAGTGTCTAGTGTCTGTGTCTAGTGTCTAGTGTCTAGTGTCTGTCTAGTGTCTAGTGTCTAATGTCGAGTGTCGAGTGTCGAATGTCTAGTGTCTAGTGTCTAGTGTCAAGTGTCAAGTGTCAAGTGTCAAGTGTCTAGTGTCTAGTATCGGAGTGTCTAGTGTCTAGTGTCAACTGTCTAGTGTCAAGTGTCAAGTGTCAAGTGTCTAGTGTCTAGTGTCTAGTGTCTAGTGTCTGAGTATCTGAGTGTCTAGTGTCTGAGTGTCTAGTGTCTGAGTGTCTAGTGTCTTAGTGTCTAGTGTCTGAGTGTCTAGTGTCTGAGTGTCTAGTGAATAAGTGTCTAGTATCTGAGTGTCTGAGTGTCTTAGACACTCAGATACTCGCATTAAAAAGGTGCAAAATCTATAAAACAAAATAAATATAGAAGTTATCAAGGAGTCACTCGTAACATAACTATTCATCACTCAAAATTGCATGTAAAGTTGATAATTTTTTTTCTTTCTAAGCATTTCTATGGAGACATTCTATCCATATAATCTAAGGGTAAACGCCCAACATTGTTATCCGTCCATGAGTTTGGTAAACATAAAAATGTTGGTACTACTGTTTAAAATTACTGTTTTAAATGTTTTTCTATACTACTATGGTAGTAAACAAGCATACGGCCGCTCTGGTGGTACACGGGGTCACCGTAGCCTATGGGTGCCTGTAACACCAGAGATGTCATGCGCGCGTTGCTGTCCCTTTAAAAACATTAATACGTCTTTTTTGAAGAAACTCCATGCTGTAGTCTCTAGGGAAAGCCTAAAAATAATCAACAAACTCACTCTTGTACTCTTTTTTTTTATGCAACTTAGAATGACAAACAAGCTGACGGCCCACCTGATGGAAAGTGGTAACCGTCGCCTATAGACATGAGCAGTACCATGGACATAACAGAATGTACTGTTTCGCCCATGATACTCCCCATGCGTTGCCATTCCTGAGGACTCACGTGTGATTCCTCTGTACCTTTGTAAATTTACTGCCATATCCCACCCTTCAAAACGAAATACTGTCATGCAAATGCTTCACGGTAGATACACAAATGGGACAGAAGTGCCCAAGCAAACGACTTTTATACAAAGTCTCCCTCTGGTAAAAAGTCTCCCTCCGGTTTACTCTACTCATAATATTAATAAAAATACTTATATAATATAATCTATGTGGATTGTTGATTAATATTATTTATCGGAGTGGTAGTCCGCATTACTACCATTCCCTTCCCCCTGTAGTTACTGAAAGTAGGGTAACTTTTTCTTTAATTACAATTTTTTAAGAGATTTTACCGTTCTTAGGCTGACTTTAAATATGCTGGAAGAACCTGAAAGGTCCTGAGACACCTGTATCTAAGGGTATAGATACAACTCATGTAGTAGTATCTATACCCTCAGAAAGAGGCTATATTTAGCACAATAAATGACTGATATAGTAATGTTGGTGAATGGGAAAATCTTAGAATCAACCAACATAACATGTGTTGTTAAAATATGCGCCTGCAGAAATAGAATAGCAAATACGCGTCTCGTTATCAATGTCACATACTTATTTAAGGCGGTCCTTTGAGCGGTCCTCAGGTATATTATTAATCTATGATCGACAGTAGAAAAAAAGAATGCGAGTATTATTCTTAATCTATGAACATTTCAGCACTATATACCTAACAACTAAATCTATATTTTTTTTATTTTACAGTTATTATTTCGATATAAAAATACGAAGGTGTCGTCCGTTCAAATGGAGCGAGTGCGGAGGCAACGGCAATCGATTTTATACCATTGAAGAATGTTTCAATTACCACTATTTTATTTTCATAAACCTATGACTGAAGCTTTATTTTTATTTTATAATACTTAGAGAGAAAGAGATTTATAAATACATATTTTATTGAAATCACAACACACACAAAGGGCATTTAACTGCCATTAACGATGACGATAATAAAAAAAAAAATCTTTTAAGTTCTAAATTTTATTTTATTATTATTTTAAATTTATTGTTCTAAATTTGCTAAAGACTAATAATGATTTAACATCTAGGTTTTCAATATGAATTAAAAAAAATTGAAAATTAACCAAAACATAACATTTATATTGTGTTGGAAATATTTTGAAAAGCGTCTTCATATTTAATATTCTTAGCAATGACAAAGATTTTTTAATAAAATATTGTAAATAAGTAAAAAAATATATCTTTAGAAAAATCAATTAAAAATTTATTTGTTAAAAATAAATTTTAAATTGATTTAATGCTTTGTTATTATCTCTGTGGTTAAAACATAAATATGTTACATCTATGACTGATTCAAATTACATATCGTTACTATTGCCCTACATGACTCTTATTTGACATATCAATGACAGTAGATTACAGCTGTCTGAGGCTCTACAACTGTCAGTGTCAACGTCAAACCTAGGAGGATGTTCTCATAACACTTTTACTTTCTATTTACCAAATTTAATTATATTCAACAATCCCCACCACGAAAACCAGTTTTCACCATGGTATTTGTCTCCAACTGTTACTTCGTAGTGCGATCTCGACAGCACACGTCTTACATTAACTGTTTATTTATTAGACCACGGCAATGTTCGCGAGAGTGACCTTCTACCCCACGCTCCTGTACAATGTGGTGATGGAGAAGATCACCAGCAGGAGGTGGTACGATAGAATGGATGACACAGTAATCCTCGGCGCCCTACCTTTTCAGAGTATGACCAAACAGGTACAAAATTTTTAGGTTATAAACTTGATGTTAATTTGAACTTGAATTACTATTTTCGTGGTTCCTAATAATTATTTTTGATAATTATGACTTACAAGACATGCAAAAAATAGTTTTATATATAATTAGTAATTTCTCGCTATTTAAATCGCATGGTGTTCTAAGTTTAAAATGTACATCTTAAAAATCTTTATCCTTCAGTTTCTTTGGCAACTTGTTAATTTTTTTAACATAAGATTTATACCCGTAGTAGTAATTGAAGCATTTTTATTTTATATATTTCAAGATACTTGTATGAAAATCCTTAAATTGAATTTAATTTCTATACTTAATATTAGGTTATTTTTACATTTGTTTATTTGTTGTATCTTAAATTATTAGTTAAATGATTGTTTGTCATTGATATTCCCCAAATATTGATTGATTACATATTAAATTAGGATAATATAAAAATAACTTTATTTAATCATTTTTATTCAAATATAATTAATTATAAGCATTTTTTAATAGTCATTTTTGAATAATCAATAAGAAAGTCAAAAAACAAAAAACTCAAAACAAACAAGCTTGACCATCACAAACATATTAATTAAAACTTTACAATTAATAGATATTCTTTATTATTTCTACAAAATATCATGGGCTTAGATGAAAATTAATTAGCTGTGAAGTTCAGATTTTAACAAATTTTTAAGATCTATAGAAGAATCAGACAGCATCACAATATTGAAATGAGGATATTGTTTTTTAGTTTTATTATTTCTATTGTTACACTTTGACCAGACACAGTTTTATTCCTCTCCATCTAAAGGTAGTCTGTAGGAGATTGCTATTTATCGATAAGGCTGCCTATTGTTAACTCTTTACCTTGTTTCTTGTAATTTTTTTTATGTACACATTGTTACGTAACCAGATCATTCTGTGATGGAATTTTTTTTAATCTCATTCAATTTTGATAAAGTTTCAACTCCGGCTCGAAGGACCAAAACACTTTTGTAGTTTAAAAACATTAATAATTTTTTTTTATTAGGTATAGACAACAGGTTACATTAAAAACATTTATAGAAAAACAATAATATGAACTAAATAGAGACCCAGACAGGTGTACACGCAGCATGGTTTAAACAGTTGGCAAACAATGTTAAATTATTAATTATATATAAAAAGGATATGAATGTAGTAAATAACAATGAACAAGCAAATGCAAATAACAAAAATATAGAAAAGTATAGACATATCAAAGAAACTTGACAGCTATTTCCAAAATGTTTTTGAATATATTCAGACGGTTCTATTTGGTTGCTAAGACAACAAAAATCAACCATTATGGTACTAACTAGCTCTAGTTACAGATAATGTAATAATAAAAAACACCATTTAATGCCTTACAATTTTACAAACATACCAGAATTTTTCATCAAAATGTTTAAAATTAAACCTGTTTGTTTTTAGTTAAAAGAAGAAGAGAACATCAAGGGAGTTGTCTCAATGAATGAAACATATGAACTGAAGATCTTCTCCAACGATGCAGAGGTGAGTACTAATTAAATTGTAAACAAATAATTGTCCAGACCATAAGACAATTTGCTGATATCATTATAATAATAATAATATACTTAATTACTCACACTACAATTTGGTCCATTTTGTTGGTAACAGTTTTCTTACAAACTATTTTAATAAAAAAGAAAAGCAAATTAATTAAAGCATTTCATTTAGATGTGACCCAGCCGACTAGATCAGCGTCTGAATGAAATGCCCAATTATAGGCGAGTTATATTTATCGCCTATTACTTTTAGAATGCTGTTGGTACTTGTCCTAACCCTGTTTAGCAACGATGCGATTCTCTTTCTCCTTATAGCGTAGTGATCATCTACGCGAGATTGAGCAAGCATGCTAGAAGCGCTACAAAAGCGAAGTAGCCCCAACAGCGCTCTAAAACTATTATTGTACTGAATTTTTTGAAGTTTAGTATACTTTAAGATGTTTTTGTACCCCTTTTCAAATATAGTTTTGTTAATTGATTGATTAACAGCTCAAATTAGGTGCGATATCTGCGCAATATGTGTAAGTTATTCAAAATCATTAAACTCAGATGTTAGCATAGCTGGTTGGCCACACTTGGACAAACTAGATATATCATTCCATGTGCTTAAAGAAATGTTTACACATAATAAAATATCTTTTCACTAATGAAAGTGTAGTGTATTTTTCAATTTTGAGATCTGAAACTTCATTACATGTTATAAAATATCGGCTGAAAAGGATTTTATTACTTCGTTTCTTCTTTCTCAACCTATTTAGATAGTTCTTTTTTACTGCAACACTGGTTCCCGTATTATTCAGCGTGACTAATTCCTTTTTTAGTTTACCAATCAAAATATAAATTTTAATAATCCCACTCCCCGGACATTTCTCAGCCATGATTTTTTTTATATTCTCTAATGCGTAATTCTTATGTTCTTAATTTAAATTCATTTTAATTTTTAAATTATTATTTGTTTGGCTACATATTTATAAGGCAATTAAATTGCTACCAAGAATAAATCCATATGGCTTTGCTATTAAATTCCATCTCGCTGTTTAAACACAAATAAATTTAAGTTCTCTATCATTTTCCATCAGGTGGGCCGTCAGCTTGTTTGCCATTCTATGTTGCATAAAAAAAAAAGTTCATCGCAATAAATTTCATTTCATTTATGTTTCCGCGTTCTTATGAACTCACTAACCTTTTCTGTACCATCGTTTCCAAGAATTGTTTAAACTTCATCCGGAAGTCTTCTCCGAGGCTGTGTATGGTACGGCTTAAAACATAAAAGAACATGAACTTTAAAAACAATAATACCTATTACAAGTAAATACAAATGTGTTTTTATATTATGAACATATACAGAGTTAGATAGAGTGTTGGGAGGAACATTAGGTGTCTGGGAATCAGACCAGCTCCCCGATACACTGGCTTACTGTGTAGAAATGGATCACCCTTGGATTTTCTTACATTATCATCATTTCTGCGTTCACTGTCCACTGCTGAACATAAGCCTTTCCCATAAAGAGAGTTGACAATCGTAGTTAGGCTTTAGAGATATTTTAAAAGGGACGCTGCTGTCTATCCCTGTATCATTAACTTCCTTTAGTTGCCCGTCACGACACCCACATGAAAATAAAGGATAGCCTAATCTATGCCAGGAAGGGTGGGGGAAGGGATTGTTAGTAATGAGGTCTAATTGCCCTATTGCTAGCAATATACCCTCTTAGTTCGACCTCCACGCGGTTCCCCCTGGTTAATTCTTGTCGAATTCGTCATGGTGGGCCAACTGACCTGCAGTCATTCTCACCTATCATCTTCCACTGGTGCCTCGTCGGTGTATACCGATAGCGCGGGCGGGGTTACCATGCCATTTTCACCCATTAAACAAATCCACGCCGGGACCACACGTCAACGTTTTCCTTACATTATACATGTTTTTTTTTTTATCGTTGGTATTCTTTCCTGTATTGTTAGCATAACAAAAGTTTATTTCCGGCTATCGGTGCCATCGTTTACAGACGAACCGTGTTTCTAATGGCGTTTTATCTTGTAATCAATGTGTTTGTAGTCTATGGCCGGAAATACAATATCTATTATGTTACCCAACTCTATAGATAAGAGAAATGAAAGGGGAAAACACGTGAGGGCTCGCGTCTTGCGAAATAGGTACCATTGAAATGAATTTGTCAAGATCGATTGCATTTTAAATTGTCTACAAATAACACGGTTTGACTCGCGATCGGAACAAATATCTAGATGCTTTCGTAGTTTTTTTTTTTTTTTTAATGGACGATAATAGAATGGTATTTTTTTAATGCGTGATAATGGAATGGTAATCCCACCCGCGCTATAGGTATACACCGACGGGGCACCAGTGAAGGATGATGGGTGAGGATGAAGCAGATCAGTTAGCCCATCGTGATGAATTCGACAAGAATTGTTCATGATGGTTTCCAGAGGGAACCACGTGAAGGTCGACCTGATTAGTAAGATTGCTAGCAATGAGGCTGTTAGACCCCGTCGCTAGCAATCTTATCACTGGTGCTTCGGCAGCGTATACCGATAGAGCAGGCGGGGTTACCATTATATTTTCACCAATTTAAAAAAAAACGTAGTTAATTATTTGTTTATTCATCACGATGAATCTACAGACCTACTTTCATCCTCACCTATCATCTCTTACTGGATCCCCGCCAGCGTATATGGATAGAGTAGGCGGGGATTTTTTTTTTATTTGATGGGTGAAAATGGTATGGTAACCCCGCCTGCGTTAACGGGATACGCTGGCGGAGCACCAGTAAAGGGTGATAGATGAGAACGAAAACAGGCCAATTAGCCCATCATGATGAATTCATCAGGAATTAACCATAATAGTTTCCAGGAGGAACCGCGAGGAGGTCGACCTGGTTGGGTATATCGCTATCAATGGGATTCTCAGTATCCATTACTAACAACCCCCCCCCCCCCCCCCGAGTAGGCGGGGTTAACATTTTATTATCGTATATTACAAAAGAGACCCACTCGATTCCGCGCTTTACGTCACAGCGTCTCGCCTCACACTGTAAACAGCAGCTTGTCCTTGAAAAACACCTTTAAAAATATGAACATAAATTTTAAAAATAATTCATTATATGTTTGTAGAAATGGCGGGAACAGGGCGTGGAGTTCCTTCAGTTAGCGACCACAGACATCTTCGAATCCCCCGACCAGGAGAAACTGTTTGAAGGGGTCAAGTTCATCAACAGGTACGAATTTTTCCATATAGAGTTCTGCTGTTTCTGCCTACCTTAATGGGAGACAGACATGACGGATACGTATGTATGTATATGGCAAACTTGCTCATACGTTAATGACGCCCTTTCAAATATAACAAAATCCAAGTCAAAGCAGCAATGAAAGCGGGACAGTTGGCCTTTCATTAAGAACTCCACAAGAGTTAACCGCGATGGTTTCCAGAAGAAACCAATTGGAGGACGACCTGATGATGTACCCTACATTGCAATAGAGCTGTTGCACCTCATTACTAACAATCCCTTTCCCCCATTCTTATAACTTATGCCTTTCCTAATTCACAAGAAATGGCCGTTTTATCCCCAGGTTTCTGCCAACCACTAGCAAACTATCCGGCGTGCCTATGGAGGGCGAGCAAGTGAACAGCGGCACAGTATACGTGCACTGCAAGGCGGGCCGCACGCGCAGCGCCACGCTCGTCGGCTGCTACCTCATGATGGTCAGTTTATTCCCATTATGATTTATGCTTACATTATATAGAGCATCGGGCCTCAAAAATGGGTCAACTTTTTGTCAGCTAATTGTCAAACTAGCTGACTCGTTTTTTTATCAGTGTTCTATATACTTACGCATAAAATGTATCTTGACGTATCTATATGTAATTATTTAATAAATAAAATGAGTTTTAACGCATTTAAAAGGATGCAGAATTTATAAGACAAAATAAATATATAAGTTATAAAGGAATCACTCATAGCTATTTATCGTGCAGAATTGTATGAAAAAGTTAACTCGTTTTTCTCGAAGCATTTGTATGAAGACTCTCTATGTATATAATCTAAGGATTTGAGACTTCTCAAGTGGCAACCCATGTCCTTATAAGGTTTTATATTTTCTTTTTTGATGCGTGATAATGGAATGGTAACACCGCCTGCGCTAATGGTACACGATGGAAAGGCACCAGTGAGGGATGATAGGTGAGAATGAAAAGGTAGGTCAGTAAGCCCGTCGTAATGAATATACCTGGAATTCAGCACGATGGTTTCCAAGGGGACCACATGGAGGTCGACCTGATAGGGTATATTACCAGCAGTGGGACTGGTAGTATTACTAACAACCCCCTCCCCTCGCCCCCAATAATACCTTTAGGAATTTATTTATTTTGTGATACATAGGTAACAATGGATGGTAAAACAATATAAGTCCTCTATGATCAACCCCATGTATCAAGGTATACAAATTTACAATTACATAAGAAAAAAAAATATATTATATAAAAAGAAAACAAAGTAACAAATTACTCAAATAATAACCTCTGTGAACTAATTATTTGATTAAAAATTTATCTTTTTTTTTTTTTTTATACAACTTAGAATGGCAAACAAGCTGACGGCCCACCTGATGGAAAGTGGTAACCGTCGCCTATAGACATGAGCAGTACCATGGACATAACAGAGTATACTGTTTCGCCCATGTTACCCCCCATGCGTTGCCATTCCTGAGGATTCAGGTGTTATAACATAGAGTTATGTTATAAGTTAATTATTAAATATTACTGTTATATTATTATTCATGTACTTTTATTATTTACATATGTAGGTATATAGAGCTGTTTTTACTGTATTATATATTCAATTTTTTTTTACTGGGTATTATTTAGTTTATCTTTAATTGTACGGTTATTACCCTTATACATTCTACAGTTTTCTTTCAGCTTCTCAAAGGTTGACTGTAAGAGATCCCTTTATGGGATAATGAATGAATGAGTATACTTTATTTGCATTATACAATATAGGAAATAAACAAGACAATTTACAAACACAACGATACAATTGTATAAGTACAGTAAGGCGGTCTTATTGCTGAGAGCAATCTTTTCAAGACAACCTTAAGGTGAAGGACTAATTGTTGTACAAGTAGGTACTCCGCCGTTGTATATTAAATCATTTATCATTGTTTAATCTGATTTATGTACAATAAATATTTTACAATACAATACAATAGAGCACTGTTGACAGAGGAACGGCTGGTCCCCGCAAGAGGCGGTCGAGTACATGCGCAACCGTCGGCCGCACATCCTGCTCCACACCAAGCAGTGGGAGGCGCTGCGCATCTTCCACGAACACCACGTGCACACGTAACGATAGGTAGGTGGTACGTAGCTAGGCAATTACACATTCATTAAAAAAAAAAATTAAAAAGCAAACGTCTAGTAAATCTATTTTGGCTGTTACAATGTTTTGTCTCTGTTTTTGAGCGAAATTTCTATTTTTAATTCACGATTGGGGCTTAACGCGACGCGCTTATAGGTATTCAGTAGCTACATATCTGATTTGTATTGCTATTATTATTTTTAATATACAATCGATTTTTAAAAAAAAAGGAGCCTCTAAATTTGATTATTATTAAATAAACAACAAAATTTTTGTTGTTTGTTACCTCATCACTCCGTCAATTTTTTTTTTTTTTGTATTTGAAAGTACATGCTTACGATTGGATCCATAGAAATTTTATTAAAATAGGTTCAGTAGTTTAGTTTTTAAATAAAAAATAACTGGTTTTGTACAATTGAAAGTAAATTATTTTTGTGGAACACAAATCTTTTATATAAGCAATAGTAATTATGTGAAAGTGGCCGAGGAAACTGCGTAAACTGCCAAAATAAGACGTAGCAATCCACGTTGAAACGTTGGCAATTAAAATCATGTATTTAGGTATGACTAACCTATAATCAAGTCGCGTTGAGTCCCTATAGTGTATTTAAAATATTATAAATTATAAAACCCTTATAGTTAAAATAGGTTAGTATCTTATAGTTTATTAATAAAATGAAATTATTTATTTATTTATTTAAACTTTAATACACAGTAAAATTGTATGTACATTTGGCGCACTTAACACCGGACGGTGTTCTCTACCAGTCGACCATTGGGTGAACAGAGAAATAAGTAGGCGGTGCATTTTTGTATTGAACGAATATGAAAAATGTATGTGTATTTTATACGTTGGCTATTTTGTGAATATAGTAATAATAGATAATTGTATGTAATAATTAATTTTAATCAGTCAATTTTTTTTTGTACTCTGCATTTAGTAAACAATAATGATATGTTAAAGATTAATTTATAATTAAATTTTTAATATGTTTAACAATTTAATATATTGTTCTCCAACTGTACTGTGTTTTTTGATGAATTTTATAGATTTAATACATTTATATACTTGTATACTCCTTAACAAACAAACAAATCAAGTAAAATAGATGTCCTTGAGTTTGGAGCCTGGTGATCAGTAAGCCGGGTTATAACTCCTCAGGAATGGCAACGCATGGGGGGGTATCATGGGCGAAACAGTATACTCTGTTATGTCCGTCAGCTTGTTTGCCATTCTAAGTTGTATAAAAAAATCCTAGTACTGACACCAGTCTCTCACAAAGATTGATTTAAATTGTAACCTATGTGGCTGTAAGTTTTGTTATTTTGTAAGAGAAATAAATATATATTTACATTCACATAGATTTAGGTAACGACTTGATAGAATTTGCCTCGATAACATTCTACAAAATAATATTTAAAATTACACGTAGATTTTATTTTGAATTAATTTGGGACCAGCAAATGAATAGACATTAACGATTGCAAAAATAATCATTAAAATCAATTCGAAATTAGCCTACTGGAGTAGCGTACAATAGAGAAATACAGACGAATTCAGAATCTCACTCTCTTTTTTAAATAGCTTTATAATATTCTGTATTTTGTATCAGTATTTTTTCCTAGAGACTACAGTATGGGGTTCTTCAAAAGAATATGTTAAGGTTTCTTCAAGGTCGACAACGTGCACGTGACACCCCATTTTTTGTTTTGTTTAACTTGTGGAAAATCTTCAGCAAGACCGTCCCATCTGCCGGAGGGAGGGCAGCTGGGGTGTGTGGGATTCGTACCCACTAAAAACCACACGATTTACCTCGAGGCGCTTATGTTGGATCCCGGGTTCCCGTTTGTACGACTACCGAGTATCCAACGCGACGGCCCGCCCTGTAAGTGGTGTAGGGCAGGCCTCTCTTAGTTAGGGCGGGGAATGTCCTTCCCACCCTACCATCACAGGAGGGCACGGATACGTGCGCACACTTCCTAGAGTCATATGTAGGGTGTGCATCAACACGTGACACCCCTAGTGTTGCAGGCGACTATACCAAAAAAGATATTATGTATATACAGGGTAATAAAAAATAATAGTATATGATTAATTCTTTTTTTTTTGCTTATTTATTTGAGACAGAGATAATATACTTGAGTGATAGTGGTTCCTCTAAGTACAGACAGCAATATTAATTTTATATTGCTGAATATTCCATATAGTGAAAGCAACAACCCATTTAAGTCTTCCAAAGTTTTAATTTTACGTCTCATTTTGTAGGTAGTTAGTTAATAAATTTGTAAGTTAATCAAATTTAACACGTTTACGCCGGGGCCGACTTTAATGTTTTTGCTGCAAGGCGGCGCTCTGATTGATGCTACGCTTCATGATCGAATACGTACCACCGGTGGTACGCGCCGCCAGAAAAGACAGTCTAGCGCGGACCACCGGTGGCCCGCGCCGGCGTGAATGTGTTAATACATATTTATGTAATAAATATGTTAATGTTAAATATAAATAATTTTAAAAATCGTTATTTTATTGTTTTATTCTGTATTTCCTATTTTTTTTTTAATTTACACTGTCCAGAGTTGCTGCCTATTAACCCTTCTTTGCATAACGGTGGAAATTTCCATCATAACATTAAATGCCCAAAAATTATATAAAAGAACAATTTCACTTTAAGTTGATCGTGTCTGGATATCTTTTTAATGTCCATTGCGGAAAAAAAAACGTATTGCTGTCAAATTTATTTTTTTAAACATTTTTCCTTTAATTTTGAACATGAATTATACCAACTTGATTTATTTCACCAATAAAAAAATCTTGCAAAGAAGGGTTAAGCATCTGACTATTCAGTATCTGTAATTTCTTTCAAAATAAGTGAACACGACAATAGTTTTGCATTTGGGATCGTAGCACGGTGATAAACCTATTGGATAAAAAATAATTTAAAATTGTTTTTCACCACAAAAAACCAACTTTAATCGCAAAACCAGTTATTTTGATTTAAAAACTAAACAACTGAGCCGATTTTGATTACTAATAGACCAATCTATTAGTACCTATATCCTTTTTACTACTACTACTAATTTTTACTATTTTTCCCCATTAGTAAACACAGTAAAGGGTACACTTATATATGTTTTTAATTTGATTTAAAAAATCAGGCTTTTAAGGGTTAAGACATCAACATTTGTATATTTAAATATAAATATTGAAATAAAACTACAATGTCAACTGAAATCGTTTTATAATCTATCAATAAATAATTCGAATCAAAGATTCATTTGCTTGCGGATTTCAAACTAGTTTTGAACATCAAAAAGGATACATTTGAACGGTATTTCGCGTGAATAAATTACCTGATATTATCCTCGAAAACATTGCCAGATTTTCGACGTATTTCAACAATAATATTAAATGCTAAATAGTCGGCGATTAAGCGTTTAAACTTGCTTTATTTATATCAAGTTTCGTTGGGTTTTCCTTTAGTCGCAATATTAGCACCATATTTGTGGAGAATACTCTACATCGATCTTGCTACCCCATACCGACCCGAGAATCGAATCTAGGTCACTTATTACTGTACTTGGTAAGGTATTAAATTACTGGTAAATAAAATTGACTAAAAAAAGCTCGTGTTACGACTTGTAGCTTTTTTAACTGCATCTCTTTAAACTGGGTGTCGTAAAAGCCCATTTATTTCATGGCAACAAAATACAACAATTTATTTACGTATATTATCAATATTAAGTAGCATTTCCAAAACAAATCGCTTTAAGAGACCTTACATTATATATTAATATGTATTTAACTTTGTCAAAAATCTGGCAACACTTGGATATTGGCTTATTTACAAAAGGGGTATTACGCAAAGGTAATTTTATTATTATAAATTAACATTTATAATAATTAAATTGTACAGTAATAAATATGTACTATGTTTTGTATAAATCGATAGGTGCCATTATCCAAGCCTTACAAACTAGATGTAATATTACGTCACGGTTTAATGACCTCAATTAATATTCGTGGAAATATTAAGTAGTAATTGAAAAGTAGAAAAAAGGCAAGATTGTTTATGGTACATTTTACAATCCTCAAATATAGTGTTAGCATTTAAATAGTATTTCCAAATAAAAAAAAATACATTCTTAATGAATATTATTCAGAATATTCCCAAATCCTACTGTGATTTAAGTATTATTAGTGAAAATAAAAATTAATGATACATTTGATGTACTGACGTTTCTGCTTATCTTACTGGAAGATAGGCGAGATGTTTATAATGCCATTTGAAAAAAAAAATTAAATATTGTTACAATATTTACAAAAAACAACAATACAAAGGTCCACGTACAACAGTTACCGAAATATGATGAAATATAAATTTATCACATCTTAAAATCGTTTCAAACTTTACACAACTAGACAGTATTCGATCTAAAATTGTACTTATGCAACTATTAAACCGTGACGCCGCAGTACACTGATCACGACAGTCTATGCCTTGTTGCCGTCAGATTTGATGGCCCACAGTTGCCTAAATGTGTTGGCGAGGCCAATATCGTGGCTTATCAGGTAGAAGAGCCCTCCGAGGGTCGCTATGGAGACGAGGTACACTAGCCCGATGGCAATTTTGGGGATAACGGGTCCGAAGATGCTGGCGCGCACGTAGTCAACAACGATCGCCTCCAGGCCCCTGCAGAATGTATTGTCACTTTACACACTTTCATTACAAGTAGCTTTAAACTAATTTTATGCTGCCTATATTAAATTTTTTTTTATGCAACTTAGAATGACAAACAAGCTGACGGCCCACCTGATGGAAAGTGGTAACCGTCGCCTATAGACATGAGCTGTACCATGGACATAACAGAGTATACTGTTTCGCCCATGATACTCCCCATGCGTTACCATTCCTGAGGACTCAGGTGTTATTCCTCTGTACCCTGTAAATTCACTGCCATATCCCACCTTTCAAACCGAAACACAGCCATGCAAACACAACTACTTCACGGTGGAAACACGAATGGGACAGAGGTGCCCAAGCAAATTATACATAATAATATATGGGGTTACCATTTAATTATCACCCATAAAAAAAACTCAGCATATGTCGCAGTTTCATATCTGAAGTTAGGACACTGATTTTCTGTAGGCCCTAAATAAGAAGTCACGGAACTAGTTGAATCTAATTAAACCTGAACAAAAGGCTTCACTCCTGAAGCAGGGGGAGTATCGTCTTTGGGCTTCTTCATATTCCTCCAAATCCTCCAAAACGCTCTACACATGCCGATATCATTGAAGATCAGGTAGAAGAGGCCGCCCATTATGAGGGCCGTCATTGAGTATACCATGCCCATGGCAATCTTGGGCACCACAGGCCCGACGACTAGAACACGAAGGTATTCCACCACCATGGCTTCTAGGCCCCTATGGATAGTAGGGATTTCGGGTTGTAGGAAAATTTGATAATGGGGTTATGAATCAATGGAATGATACACTCCCTATGCTAATAGCAGACCATGAGTGAAGACCATGAAGGATGAGAAAGATAACTCTACTCAATTGGCCCATCTTGATTAATTCTCCTACAATTATTCCTATGGGGCAACTTTCCGATGGGGCCTCATGGAGATTGACCGAACCTGGTATATTATTGCTGATGGTACTTTTTCAATGAACCACCATTTACCTATTTATTTTCAATGGTAAATAGCCAGGGAATAAATATATTGACAGTTATATTTTCATTATTGTCCTTATCTCATTCTATCTTTTTGACATAGTAGCAAAAAAGTATCTACTTATAGTCTTTTTATATCTGTATTTTTTTTTTTTTCTCAAAATTCTCTAGTTTTTTATAATAGAGGAGATTTATATACAATAGTGGAATGATGATGAGGTATTGTAAGGGAAGGATTTGGAAAGAAGCAAGGGCACCTAGTACTAAGGCAGAACTACACCAGTATAAATAAACTTATTTTTAATAGGATGCCTCAGAGTAATACTTAATTAGATACAAAATTACTCCCGCCAAAACAGTTTCAAGCTTATGTTGTGCAAATTATTATTCTATTGTCTTTCTCGTTCTAATATATAAGTTATTATATAATAAATTACCTCATCACTAATTAGTAATAAAAATAAATGAACAATTTGATACTCACCAGAAACTATGTGCCGTAATAAGAATAGCCAGGGCCGAATCAAACAGCTTGTTTGGGATGAGTAGACCAAGTGGGACTAACGGTATTAGTGCAGCAGATGTGATTTTCTCCACCACCCATAACTTGGAGTGGTCATTGGCTTTCCCCGCAGATAACCGTGGGGGGGATGTACGGAAAGAACGCACCTAAAAATACCAAATATTTTCAAAATTATTGTATTGTTTACTGAAGTCATTTTTAATAATCATTAGTCATTTTTTAATTTTTTAGTCACACAGAGAGGTCACAAAACAGATTGAAGAGAATACTAGAATAATGATTCTTTTTTAATAGGTGAAAATGTAATTGTAACCCTGCCTGCACTATCTGTATACACCAATGGGGCACCAGTGGAAGATGATAGGTCAGAATGAATGCAGGTCAGTTGGCCCACCATAATGAATTCAACCAGAATTATCCATGATAATTTCCAGTGGTCTAACAGCCCCATTGCTAACAATATACTTTATCAGGTTAACTGCTACACGATTCCCCCTGGAAATCATTGTGGTTAATTCTTGTGGAATTCATCACAATGGGCTAACTGACCCGCTTCATTCTCACCTATCATCCTTCATTGATACCTCGTCAGTGTATATAGTTAGCACAGGCAAGGTTATCATTCCATTTACATCTATAAAAAAAATGGCCTCCATTTGTACTGTTCATGTTTTTTGCCTTAAAATACATACATATATGGCAATTTCATTTTGAAAGGATATTCTTAATAGCTAAAAAAGGATTCCTGACTATCCCGCCCATTGTTTTCTCATTGTGATTATTTCTTGTAATTATTTATATTTATAATAAGTTTACTATTGTAATCTTTTGGAGGAAACAATAAAGAGTATCTATCTATCTATCCCTGCCTGCACTATTAGTTTGTGCTTCCGAGGCACCAATCAACCACAATGATTTTCAAGGGGGCAACATAGAAGTCAATCTGACAGAGTATATTGTTAGCGATTAGACTGCTAGATCCCATTACTAACAATCCCTTCCCCCCCATTTGAAGGGTGGAATATAATAGTGAAATTACAGAGTATCAATACAACACATTATATCTTAGAAATAGCAATACTGCTATAAATGAAGGGAAAGGGATTGTTAGTGATGGAGACTGAGAATCCCATTGCTAGCAATATACCCAACCAGGTCGACCTCCTTGCAGTTCCCCCTGGAAACTATCATGGTTAATTCCTGATGAATTCATCATGATAGGCTAACTGGCCTGTTTTCATTCTCATCTATCCCCTTCACTGGTGCTCTGCCAGCATATCCCATTAGCGTAGGCAGTGTAACCCTGCCTACGCTAATGGGATCCATTGCAATGCATTCCATTTTCATCCATTAAAAAAATACTGGTATAAATATACAAATATCTATACATGATGTTACTTTCCATCCTATCAATTGGGCTGTCAACTAGTTTATCATTCCCAGTTCAATAAAAAGACTTTGTGTCAATTATTTAAAATTGTAATTACTTACAGAATTTAAAATAGGCGTACTATTAGCTCGTGGGATTACAAGATTCTTGATGGGCAGAGTGCTGGCAATCGTGCGCTCCTTAGCCATAGACTGTGTGGCAAAACACATCATTTGTTGATTGAATGCACTACTTCTGCATGCTGTAATGATAACAAACATTAAAGGTGGAATAAATCAGTATATAAAGGTATAATAAAAATGTTAAAATCTCATATTTAACAATTTTTGTATATATATAATGATTAGTCTTGGTTCGCTAGTATTACTAATTCTTAATATTCATTTTAATATATTAGGTGATGTGTTGGTCGCATATTGGGTATAATCTTCTAGTGCCTGATTTAATTACTTTTTAATTAAAAAAAAACATAAAGAAAACACCGTATCAAATACATAAAAGCAAGCATTGATAATGAGTTCTTTCTACCTACTTCATGTAACCTAACTAGAAGATATAGACAGATAGAGAAGATTATTATAAATAAAGGGTGTTATAAAATATATTTCGAAAAATTAATGTAAATTGTTTCCATCAACAACGGTTATGTAACATTATTATAACATTTTCATTTTACCTGAAGTACGAAGGAACATGGAAAATGCCATTGTAAATTATATATGATTTAGACTGACTATAAACAAAATCTAAATGCCTATAAAATAGTTTTGTCCAAATGTTTGATCTTATAAATTGGAATGAAACTTTCCGAAATTTGCGATTTGCGAAATGTCACCAACAACAAACCAACTAAATGTCAAATGTCACCAATAAAAAGTGACAGCAAACATAGGTATCATTGCTTATTCCAGACAAATTATCTTTTTGAAGACTAGGCAGCATGGTCTCCGACCTTAGCCTGTTCCAAACGGAACAAACGTACTAAAAAAAAAAAAGGTATCATTGCAGCAAACATGAAAATTCTAATTTTAAATAGAAATGAAACCGATTAAAACGATTCAAAATGCATGTAGTGCAACTTGTTTAACAATGACAAAGATGTTCAACTTTCTTTGTCTTACAAAGAACAATAAAGGAACATATGGCGAACCATTTATGATTCATTACGATTCTATGTCTATAAGAAATTTAGTAGTATTAATTATCTGTGAATTTAGTGATTCCTCTAAATAAGGAATATTATTATTAGTAGATTTACATTAATAATTATTTGGAAGAAATAAACAAATTTAAAAATATTACAGATTTATTTTTCTATATAGTTTGTTTAAAAACTAATATCTATTTTTGAAATGGAACTATGTTTTATCATTTATTCTTTTTGAATGTTATAATAGTAAACTTTTTTTACTTATACACGGACACCCTAAACCTGCATGAATGGAAGGAATGAGAATGACAATTCACTTTCTTGATTTCGATTGTGTTTGAATTATATATATAATATTGTTTATCAAGAAGTTTAAATTAAAATATTAAATACTTACACGAGTCAACAATACTTATGGCGACTACGTTAGAAGACAAATCAATTTGGGAAGATGGAGAAGAGGCACTCAGTGAGGAAGTTCTTCGGATGCCAACAGATGAAATAATCAGTCGTACCAGGCTTCTAGACAATGAAATAAAGATCATGAAGAGCGAAGTCATGAGGATCTCTCATGAGTTGCAGGCACAAAACGAAAAAATTAAAGAGAACACAGAAAAAATCAAAGTGAACAAAACGTTACCTTACTTGGTTTCTAATGTAATAGAACTACTAGACGTAGACCCGCAAGAGGAGGAAGAAGACGGTGCGGTCGTTGACCTCGATTCTCAGAGAAAGGGCAAATGTGCAGTAATAAAGACATCTACAAGGCAAACATATTTTTTGCCTGTTATTGGTTTAGTAGATGCTGAGAAGTTGAAGCCAGGAGATTTAGTAGGAGTAAACAAGGACTCATACCTGATTTTGGAGACTTTACCTGCTGAATATGATGCAAGAGTCAAGGCTATGGAGGTGGATGAGCGGCCAACAGAGCAGTACTCTGACATTGGTGGTTTAGATAAACAAATTCAGGTCAGTATTTTATAGTTTAACAGATTTAATAAAATTATATGTATCCATTAATTTACTAATAGTTTATTCACAACAGGAAAGGTAAAAGTACAAAATTATAGAGCCAAGTCTACTAATTCTAATATTATAAGTATTAATTAGTATATGAACACATTTGTTTACTTCTCAGATATCTTGTAGCAGTTGCTTTTTGAAAAGTATTATTTTGTTTTTTTTGTAATTCCAGGAATTAATTGAAGCTGTAGTCCTGCCCATGACACACAAAGAGAAATTTGTCAACTTAGGAATCCATCCACCTAAAGGAGTGCTGTTGTATGGTCCACCAGGCACTGGGAAGACCCTGCTTGCCAGGGCTTGTGCTGCACAAACCAAATCCACCTTTTTGAAGTTAGCTGGACCACAACTTGTTCAAATGTTCATTGGTGTGTTATTTCAATTATATCTTTTTAGTCTTATGCTTCTTAAACACAAGCTTGTATCGATGAAAGAATTATTTTTTCTAACCGAAGTGAAGTTTTACAAGTTTATAATATATATATATATATATATATATATATATATATAATCTATGTAATCATCATTATTACAAAGTATACATAAGACTTTCAAAACTTTACCAATATTTACTATGTTACTTCAGAAAATGTATGTCACAATCATATTAGCTTTTAACTGTCCACTGTTGAACATAAGTCTCCCCCTTGGGAGGTTTTGCCAGTAGTTGCCATACTTGGCAGGCGGATTGGTAACCATAGTTAGAGATGATTTAAGAAGGCTGCTGCCCATCCTTCGGCCCTTAAGTTCCCTTAATCACCTCTTAGGACAACCACAGAAAAGGAAGAAGTGGCCTATTCTATGCTGAAACCACATACCCTTTATTATTATTTCACAAATACTAGAATAATCAGGGGGAAGGGATTGTTAGCAAAGAAGTTTGATAGCTCCATTGCTAGCAATATGCCCAGTTAGGTTGACCTCCACATGGTTCCCCCTGGAAACCATCGTAAACAATTCCTGTTGAATTCGTCACGATGGGCTAACTGATCTGTTTCATCCTCACCTATCATTCTTCACTGGTGCCCCGCCGGTGTATACTGATAGCACGAGTGGGGTTACCATTTCATTATCACCCATTAACAAAAAAAAAATACTAGAATCATTGCTTATTGAATCAATATACCATACCATAGTAGGTAGGTAGTTTAACTAATTTATACTACTAATATGCAATGTTGGTAAATATGCCCTTCTACTGAAATAATAATAGATTCATAAATTAATAAGATTGATTTCATTTGAGGTTTGAAAAATGTGTGCTAAAATTGTTATATACCTGTCAGACCAATTTAAAAAAAAAATGTATTTTTGCATGCTATCACCTTGTTAGCTAAGCACGAATGTCCTTTGACTAATGTAACATCTTTAACTTTACCGTGTTTAAGCAAATACAGATTATTATTATTATTAAAAATATCAACATAAACTTAATTACAAGCATTTTTGAATAAAATTTTTTTTTTAATTCTATCACACATTGGAAATGCAATTTCAACTGAGGAGAACAAGCAAGAAGCTCAACTGTTGCTATTTTTAACAAAAAATGATATTAGCATTAAATTGTCAATAGAGATTAACAGATATTTATAATGTGTGTTAGGTGATGGTGCCAAGCTCGTTCGAGATGCTTTCGCCCTAGCTAAGGAAAAGGCCCCAGCAATCATTTTCATTGATGAGTTGGATGCCATTGGCACCAAGCGTTTTGACTCTGAGAAGGCTGGTGACAGAGAGGTGCAGCGTACCATGTTGGAGCTGCTGAACCAGCTTGATGGCTTCAGCTCTACAGCAGATATCAAGGTAAAATTGTTTTAAGCAGAGAATTCAAAATTTTAGCTTACAAATAAACCAATTTCAGTTATTATAAAATCAGTATAGGACCAGCATTGAAGATTGGATAAAAGAAATTGTTTGCTTACTAACAGATATGCATTTTAACAGTAGACACCAAAGTTATTAAGTTCTGTTTAATAATATTGCAAAATATATACAAGAAAACAATAACTATTGAACCTGAATAATAACTATTCTGAGTCTCTATATAGGGCTCCTATTTATTCAGTTTGAAAGTATTTAGGCATCTTCAAACTTAAAATATGAGTAAATTAGACATAAATAATAAATTATATAATTTTTTACTAGATGGATAATGCAAAAAATAAAAAAGAAATGATACAAGATTTTAACCATACAATGGAATGTTACAAACAATACAAAAATTAAAGTAATCCAGATACTAAGCCGGTGTTTTCCAACATGGGGCCCACGCCCCACAGGGGGGCCAATTTGATAGTTATGGGGGGGGGCAATTAAAAATGGACTCCAAGCGATTTTAACCCTCTTGCTCCTAGCCATTTCAATGCAATGCTAGGAGTAGACATCGATGCCAAATTTAACAGAAAAAGTAAAAAAAAATTATGAAAAATTATGTATGGGGCCATAAAAATTTTAGAAATGTTTAAATGGGGCATGGCACAAAAGAGATTGGGAAACACTGCACTAAGCATTGATGCCCTTGCCAAATCTGATATGTAGTTTTTTTTTCTTAATATCTTAATTATCTGGACTCTTTATATGTATTACACAATTTTTATATAACTTCATCTAATGTTTTGTATAACTTTGTGACACCAGGTCATAGCTGCAACCAACAGGGTGGACATTCTAGACCCAGCGCTGCTTAGATCAGGACGTTTGGATAGAAAAATTGAGTTCCCGCATCCAAATGAAGAGGCCAGAGCCCGGATTATGCAGATTCACTCACGGTACAGTCATTTATTTACTGTAATCAAATTACTGACTGAAAAGTTTTTTATTTAAAGTATGTGCAATACTTATATTTTATTGTTAAAAGTTTTGTAAATACACATTATATTTTAATGTAATTACTATTGGTTTAACTTACATGTATTCTACCTTAATTTCGTGCTTCGCAATTGCTCATGACTAAGGGTCCCGATTGGTCTAAAAACTAGTCAATGTTTAAAATAACTATAAGTTAAACTAGTAATTATTACATTAAAATGTTGGTATTAGAAAATATAAAGATGCTCATTCTCAATTAGACAGACAGGGACATTTGGCAGCCCTTGTGCTGAATATAATGCTTGGCACGACCACATTTCACAGAACATACTAGAATCTAATTTGGAAGCCTACTGTGAGATTAATTTGACTTGTTAATAAATTTTAAAGTGAAAATTATGTCTATTTTAGGAAGATGAACGTAAGTCCTGATGTCAACTTTGAAGAGCTGTCTCGCTCGACCGATGACTTCAACGGCGCCCAGTGCAAGGCTGTGTGCGTGGAGGCCGGCATGATCGCTCTCAGGCGCTCGGCCACCGCCGTCACTCATGAGGACTTCATGGACGCCATACTAGAGGTGCAGGCCAAGAAGAAAGCAAACCTTAGTTACTATGCTTAGTATGTTTTTGTAACCTTCTATTAATTGTAAGTTACTATCTATTAAAACAGTTCTTCATAAATCTTATTTCATTTCACCCACCATTTTTACTTGGATATATATATATTCTTTATTGCACTTGTAAGTTACATATAAAATAATGTATTTATAAACATTGTGAGCAAGGGTGAACTTATCTCTGACAGAGATTTCTTCCAGTCAACCCAGTACAGTAAGAAAGCATTTCGTTAGCGGGCAGCTGAAGTATTGAAGGATATTTAGTTACTACTTAATACGAAGTTCACTTAAAAGTTATTATGTAATTTTTTTATCTAACTAGAAATGCCTACAAATTCTATTTCGGGGTCAAATTCTCATATGAATCTGTGAATCTACGTCCTGCAATTTCACTAATGTATAGTTATAGCACGAAATAAAGTGTGGAAAACGTGAATTATAGATGTATTATAATGTACTCCGTGTCAAGTCACGGTAGTTCAGTCCTAAAAGCCTTTGCATTCAGTAGTGAATAAACGGGGGGCGGGGGTAGAAGGGGCGGCCTGCCCCAGGCTTCTAGTCCTGAGAGATCCCTCAAATGCCTCAAATTCTTTATCTATGTTCAATATATATTTTTCAGTCTAAATTTTATTTGCCAGATTTTAATTAGATAAATATAAACACTTATATATACAAAATGTTAATTGAATAAAATACTTATAAAATTAATCAAACTTGGGGCCCTCATTTAGCTTTTTCGACCCATACCTCTGACAGGTTTAATCCACTGCTTGCCTGGGAATCTCAAAATCGAATACCATCAGAAACGTGTTTCATTTGGAGCAATTAAAAATTATTGTGATCTTTCTCGTATTTCGTAGGGGACGTAAAAGCGTTGTCTGGTAACCCATATTATAAGCGGCCTTCAGTTGAGAATAAAGAAGACGGCCTTGAAATTTACATGTAGTGTACTTCACAAGAATAGTAACTTGCCTCAGTTACTTAATAAATATTAAATAAATTGCACACGTATAAAAAAGCAAAGACACATACATAGCTACCCATAATTATTAACAGATTTGTATAAATTATATAACTATTATTGTTATTATCTATTGTTGAGTAGACAAAACATAATTTAAACACAAATTTTACGCGCGAAAACGCAACCTTAAAATTAGCAAAATCGCAACGCGCGTGCGTGTGCTAAATTTGAAACATAGGAATGAATCTGTCAAAATTTCAGTGAACTTTCAGAACAAATTAGTAATAGGCTAAAAATAATCTAAAAAAATATATTAATTAGCGATGTGAAATTATTAGTGTTAAATTAATCTTCGTCTTCGTATCATCGACGAAGAAAAATCGGCCTTAAGTCGTGAGTACTTAACCTAGTTTTATAATTTAAACGAATCTCTTCACTACATATTATTATGATTATTACCGCATAATGATATTGATTTGTGAATGTTTACTATTGTATGCGGTTGTAAATTGTGTATCGCTTCAAGCTTCAATGTCCCGTTGCCTGCTATGATTAACAATAAATATTCCACAATATGTATTTCTAATCGGCTACTTATATATCTTTGCATAGATAATTCCATAAAATTAAATATTAAAAAAATAAAATTTTAGTAACGAAAAATATATTCTTCCATAGACAAAAATTGCATGTTATTTTTATTTTTTCTTTTGTAACTAAGCAAAGATGTCAGGTCGTTTTTAATTAACATTAATTGCGACCATATGGCAGATAAAGCAATATACTTAGCTGATTTGTTTCCATTTATGGCTAAGAACAATGGATCCAGAAGGCAGCTGTGAGCTTCAGTTTAAGATAACTTCCAAGGATATACCTAGGGTACACACAAAATGCAACTTCAACCGTCCACACACCAGGTTTTTTGCCTAAATTCACATTTTTCTATATATTTATTTTTACTCATAAATAGATATTTATAAGTTTGAAATTCAAATAGCAGCATAGATATGATATAGTAAATACAAAAAAAAAAAATATTTTATTGAATAATAACTATTGTGAGTAATACTCACATATTATTCTAGCGTTTATAGGACCCTGATTTGCAAGTGTCATGACATAGCCTAAACCTTTCTTATAAATAAGGGCTCCTATTACATCTGAAACTTGCCACCCCAATATTTAATACATAAGTAGAGTTACTTATAATAATACATATAATAATAATAATATAAATTGTTTATTATTTATCACAAGTCTATCTTGCAATTAACATGTCATATTATTGTTTTTTACAAGTATAGCCTATTATATATTTATAATTATTATACCTACCTTTCATATATATATATCCTTTATTGCACTTGTAAGTTACATATAAAATAATCTATTTATAAATGTTGTGAGCAAGGGTGGACTTATCTCTGACAGAGATCTCTTCCAGTCAACCCTGTACAGTAAGAAAGCATTTCGTTAGCGGGCAGCTGAAGTGCTACAACTATTAATACATAAACAAATATACAGTTAAATAAAATATTAAAATATATAATAAAATATTACATAAATACATACACTATAAATATATACAATACCTACCTTCTTATATAGTATATGTTAAAATAAATTAATATACTACTTACATTAGAAATTTCTTATATGATATATTGTTGAATTAATTATATACATATTATGTTTTACAATTATCAATTATATATTTTATGGTGCTTTTGGATTTCAACACTTATGTTCTACCTTCACAATATAACAAACTCCTACATTTACATTATATCACTACTTTTACTTATATTTCACGTTTCTATTATTTTTTCTATTTTTTCCATATGAATTGTATGTTTTTATATATCAAAATTGTACATGTTACAAAGCTAAATAGCTTTTGCTTTTATGTAGTTTTGAATTTTTTGTTTTATATTATGTACAGAGTTGTATTTGAGCTAAATGCATGACTAGTGTATGAGCTTTGTAAATTTAAATTTGTGTAAATTAATTGAAAGCGTGTATATTTTGTAATACCTCCCTATGTATCTAGTATGGCCTTAGGACCCTAGGGCAGGATGTGGTTTATACCCCCCAGAACACATGTGCTCGAGAGCTATTCACCCCATGTATTTCCGATTTAAACAGGCCTTAAAATGTATGATAATTTGCTATACTATATTGTTTTCATTATGCCTTGTATATATAAACTAACTATATTTTACGGCTTCATCCGTGGTATGCAGTGAGTATGCTACCCCCTTCTCTCTAAATAATCTACTATAAAATGCAAAAAGAATGTTTAAAATCCGATTGGGAGAGATAGATAGATAGATACTCTTTATTGTTTCCTCCAAAAGATTACAATAGTAAACTTATTATAAATATAAACAATTACAAGAAATTATCACAGTGAGAAAACAATGGGACGGCCTTATAAATTTACGCGTTCAAACAAAGGCATAACAGTATTATATACATATATCTGTGGTATAGATAAACACCTATTCTACCTCTGCAAAACTACATGAGTGAAGGGGCAGTGGGGGGGGGGGGGGGGGGGTTTGTTAGTAGTGGGGATTAACAATCCTATTACTAGCAATACACTCTATCAGGTCGACCTCCTCGTGGTTCCCCCTGAAAACCATCGTGATTGATTCATTAGTGATTTTTTTTGATGCATGAAAATGGTATGGTAGCATTGGTTAGCGCAGGCCCCCGCCTGCGCTAACGGAATACGCTGGTGGAGCACCAGTGAAGGGTGATAGATGAGAATGAAAACAGGCCAGTAAGCCCATCATGATGAATTCATCAGGAATTAACCATGATAGTTTCTAGGAAGAACCGCGAGGAGGTCGACCTGTTTGGGTATATTGCTAGCAATCGGATTCTCAGTCTCCATTACTAACAATCCCTTTCCTCGTGCCTCGCCGTTGTATACCGATGACGCAGGTGGGGTAACCATTCCATTATCATCGATTAAAAAACCACACGAGCGGTCACCGTCCCAACTGAATCGAACAAGTGAACCACCACTATAAACAGAGCCACTCCTAAAAGAATACAATTGATTGATGTCATTTGCGTATTTATATGATTACAATGTGTTGCCATTCCAATAGGACTCATGCGAAAAGCGTGCCGCGTCTCGCCAGATCGGACACGGAAAAGACTATTAAGGGCTGTCCACACGAAAACTTTTGTGCGTTATAAATAAACGACAAAAAGGCCGCCATTTTTTATCTCACTTCAATATGGCAATATCTTATATTCGCATATGGGGTCAGCTAAGCCGTTGCACGTCGACCCATCGGGATCTTTTGTGCTTCCCCCTACCTTATACCATCATTTCATAGATCCTTTGTGTTATCTTAACGATATCCCGCGGTTTAAGATATCTGTAGTCCCCTGGCTCTGGATAAGCCGTTCCCAGTAGACTCATGCGCATGCTCGCTAACGAATCACAGTTGCACATCAAGTGTATGGCAATAACTACATAAACCTTAAAATGTAGTGCTACAAATAAAATTTGTAAGTTTTTTAATTATAGTTTTTTGTTTCGTAGGACCTCCATTCCTATTCCTAAATGGTCTTTAATTAAAATACAGTAGTTTCGTTTGCAGCGATAACGAAGCGGTCAGGGCTTATCTGTTTATAATAATAGATATTCTGTACTATTATTTTAACCTCATAAATCTCTTACTCATCTCCTAAGAATGTAAAAATAGGTAAGTACGATATAACATTCATTAGAACCAGTCGTACAATTGATTAAAGAAATACTTGAAATTTTTTTATTCACGTCTAAATCTATTACAGAAACAGATAGTTAATTCTATGGAAAAAAGTGGCAAGAAACTTGAATGTTACTCTTTTATGAATATCCTAAAACAACTTACGAAATCTGCAAGATGGTAGAGTTTCTTTTTTTTATACAACTTAGAATGGCAAACAAGCTGACGGCCCACCTGATGGAAAGTGGTAACTGTCGCCTATAGACATGAGCAGTATCATGGACATAACAGAGTATACTGTTTCGCCCATAATACCCCCATGTGTTGCCATTCCTGAGGACTAAGGTATTATTTCTCTGTAGAGTAAGGTGAGGGGAAACACAAGACCTAGTTGGGCCACAGTACCACCGGTGGCTTACTCTCGCACATACGAAATAAAGACGAGAAATCTCACCAAAAAAGAATGCGGAGATAATATAAAGAAATCCTTTATTTCAACCAAGCCTACAAGGTTTCTCTAAGCTACGATCAAATAAACCCCTACCATTATTGACAGTATTTAATATCAAATAACATGCATTACAAAAATGCATTTGAAAAAAGAATAGAAAAAATATGCAAAATTATAAAAAGGTCGAATAGTCGTGCTGCCAGTGACACCCACAGAATAATTAATAATAAATATATGCTAATTCTGTTAAAACTATATATATATATATATATATATATATATATATATAATATTAATCGCGACGTTTTCTCGTATCGTGTGAAGAGTCTCTAACACCAGTAATGGCTCACGTCGCCACGCCCATCGCTCACCTGCCGTGCCGCTGCTATCAGTCGGCCGCGACCACAGCTGACCAAAGCTCGCGTCGCGTCGTGTGCGTGCGTCGCGAATACGTATTGTCCACTCGCCGTGTATTGTTGTTCGCTGCAGTTAGTGTTGTGTGAAACATCTTAAACAAATATGGGAAAGATTTTTATGTAAGTATTTGAAATTGAAGAAAAATTTATGGGATTTATTAACAACCAAAAATCAGATGGGGATTTATTTTTTATTTTTTATTGTATATTCATGTATTCATATTTGGATAATCATATACATATCACAATTATTATAAGGTCATAGTTCCACAAAATAATATTACAAACTGATTTTACTTACTTTTTTATGTTAATTTTGTTACCCATTTCGTAAAATAGTTCTAATTAAAATATAATTTTATTTTTATTTATTTTAATTTTTTATTTATTATATTTCATTTTTATTAATAAAGAAACTTGACTAGTTGCTACATATAATTTGTATAAAAATCGTTACTAAACGCATGACACATCCATGGCTTGTAATAGGAGTTTCAAGCTATATACCCTGTCAGGTCGACCTCCATGCGGTCTCCTGTCGATACCAACTGACCTGTCTTTATTTACTACTAGTATTCCACCATTAAAACCAATAGTAAAGGTTGGCTTACCATTCCTCATTTATTCATGATTTGACAGATAGAATACTTGATTCCATCCAGGAAAGTCACTCTAGGCGTATTTAAAGTTTTTTTTTTCTTTTTTTCTTTATACAACTTAGAATGGCAAACAAGCTGACGGCCCACCTAATGGAAAGTGATAACCGTCGCCTATAGACATGACCAGTACCATGGACATAACAGAGTATACTGTTTCGCCCATGATACCCCGCATGTGTTGCCATTCCTGAGGACTCAGGTGTTATTCCTCTGTACCTTGTAAATTCACGCCATATCCCACCCTTCAAACCGAAACACAGCCATGCAAACACAACTGCTTCACAGTAGAAACACGAATGGGACAGAGGTACCCAAGCAATCGACTTTTGACCCTAGAATTTCAGCATAAACTATGCACAAAGAAATCTCTGTGTATATAAGTGCACCCTTTTTAAGCAACCAAGCGCCACCTGGAAAAATAATTAAATACGCCAATGGGATTTAAACAAAACCGGCTGTTTTAAAAAGTCTCACCTAGCATGATTTAAAAGCAACACGCCTTACCACGACGATAGCTTAGAGGCAGCAAATGATAGCTGACTCTTGTTGCCGGGGGGGAAAGGGATTGTTAGTAATGGAGTCAAATAGCCCCATTACTAGCAATATACCCCATCAGATCGACCTCCACGTGGTTCCCCCTGGAAACCATCGTGGCTAATT